CCTCTGTATTGGAGATGGAGGAGGACAGGAACGGGTTAGGAGTGGGGGTGGGGTTGACCCTGGACAGTGAGGCGTGCTGTGACCCCCAGGAGGAGGGGGTAGTCCTGGGGGAGCAGCCAGGACCAGGAGGGGGCGCCCTGCCCTCCTCTGACCACAGCAGGCCCAAGAGGGAGAGGAAGCAGCGTAGCTACACACTGTGTGACGTGTGTAACATCCAGCTCAACTCCCCAGCCCAGGCCCAGATACACTACAACGGCAAGTCTCACCAGAAGAGACTCAAACAGATAAGCAACGGGAAGATCCAGCATGGCAACACAGGTAGGACAACCCACCCACTCTCTGCCCTATTCTGCAGCTGTACCCTACTCTACCCCTAGACTGTTCGAAAAAAGGGTTCCAAAAGGGTTCTGCAGCTGTCCCCATAGGAGAACCCTTTTCAGTTCCAGGTAGAACTCTTTTGGGTTCCATATATAACACTCTGTGGGAAGGGTTCTACATGGAACCCAAAAGGGTTCTACCTGGAACCAAAAGGGTTCTACCTGGAACCAATAGGGGTTCTTTAAAGGGTTCTCCTACAGTGGGGAAAAAAAGTATTTAGTCAGCCACCAATTGTGCAAGTTCTCCCACTTAAAAAGATGAGAGAGGCCTGTAATTTTCATCATAGGTACACGTCAACTATGACAGACAAAATGAGAAAAAGAAATCCAGAAAATCACATTGTAGGATTTTTAATGAATTTATTTGCAAATTATGGTGGAAAATAAGTATTTGGTCAATAACAAAAGTTTCTCAATACTTTGTTATATACCCTTTGTTGGCAATGACACAGGTCAAACGTTTTCTGTAAGTCTTCACTTACAGAAAACATTCCTCCATGCAGATCTCCTCTAGAGCAGTGATGTTTTGGGGCTGTCGCTGGGCAACACAGACTTTCAACTCCCTCCAAAGATTTTCTATGGGGTTGAGATCTGGAGACTGGCTAGGCCACTCCAGGACCTTGAAATGCTTCTTACGAAGCCACTCCTTCGTTGCCCGGGCGGTGTGTTTGGGATCATTGTCATGCTGAAAGACCCAGCCTCGTTTCATCTTCAATGCCCTTGCTGATGGAAGGAGGTTTTCACTCAAAATCTCACGATACATGGCCCCATTCATTCTTTCCTTTACACGGATCAGTCGTCCTGGTCCCTTTGCAGAAAAACAGCCCCAAAGCATGATGTTTCCACCCCCATGCTTCACAGTAGGTATGGTGTTCTTTGGATGCAACTCAGCATTCTTTGTCCTCCAAACACAACGAGTTGAGTTTTACCAAAAAGTTATATTTTGGTTTCATCTGACCATATGACATTCTCCCAATCCTCTTCTGGATCATCCAAATGCACTCTAGCAAACTTCAGACGGGCCTGGACATGTACTGGCTTAAGCAGGGGGACACGTCTGGCACTGCAGGATTTGAGTCCCTGGCGGCGTAGTGTGTTACTGATGGTAGGCTTTGTTACTTTGGTCCCAGCTCTCTGCAGGTCATTCACTAGGTCCCCCCGTGTGGTTCTGGGATTTTTGCTCACCGTTCTTGTGATCATTTTGACCCCACGGGGTGAGATCTTTTTGCGTGGAGCCCCAGATCGAGGGAGATTATCAGTGGTCTTGTATGTCTTCCATTTCCTAATAATTGCTCCCACAGTTGATTTCTTCAAACCAGGCTGCTTACCTATTGCAGATTCAGTCTTCCCAGCCTGGTGCAGGTCTCCAATTTTGTTTCTGATGTCCTTTGACAGCTCTTTGGTCTTGGCCATAGTGGAGTTTGGAGTGTGACTGTTTGAGGTTGTGGACAGTTGTCTTTTATACTGATAACAAGTTCAAACAGGTGCCATTAATACATGTAACGAGTGGAGGACAGAGGAGCCTCTTAAAGAAGAAGTTACAGGTCTGTGAGAGCCAGAAATCTTGCTTGTTTGTAGGTGACCAAATACTTATTTTCCACCATATTTGCAAATAAATTAATTAAAAATCCTACAATGTGATTTTCAACGTATACCTATGATGAAAATTACAGGCCTCTCTCATCTTTTTAAGTGGGAGAACTTGCACAATTGGTGGCTGACTAAATACTTTTTTTCCCCCACTGTATGTTTAACCATTTTTGGTTAAAGATAGAACACTTTTTTTTCTAAGAGTGTACAGTACCCTATTCCACTATAAAACTCTAAGGCTGCTCACGTCTGTACCTCCTTACCAGCTGAGGAGAGAAATGATAGTGTGCACACTTTTGACAACGTGTGAATATGAGTTCTACCCCCCAATGACACATCAAGCTACATTATATAACCTAATAAGGTGCAATGGTACTATGTTCTACCTGTTTCATCATACTTTCAGTACATTTCTAAGAGGGCACTGTGATAATGAGTATGACAAGTGAACTTGGAGTGCTGCTACAGATGTAGGATCTTAATTTGATCACCCTGTTGCAGGAGAACTTTCCTGTAATGCAGGACATTTTTTAAACTCGTATTTGAGTTTTAAAAAGGTTTCTGAAGTTTGTAATTTCCACATTGAAATTTCAGACATGATTTTCATTTAAGACACCTACAAAAATGACCATTAATTATAATCCACATAATAATTCACATTTCTTGTTGCTGCAGGATTATTTTCCTGCTGTAGCAAACTGTCTCAATCTGTATAGATGTGTTGTGCCCTGGCTCTCAGTACAGGAGTACAAGTGTAATGTAGAAGTGTGTATGGAAGTGTGTATAGAGTAGAAGTGTGTATGGTGCTATATAGTCTTCCCTAGCCTGAGGCTGGACACAGAGGGAGGAGAACAAAGCTGAGTTAAGTCATTAATTGACTGACTAATTAATTGCTGGTTATTTTAGATCATTCTTGTTCCTGCCCGCTCCAGGGTAGCTACTGCAGTGGAGTTGCAGGTTTTCCCCATAGCTTTGAATATATAGTGAAACTGGCTACATGTTATGATGTTAGTCCTTTCTGTCTCCCACTCTCTCTTTGCTTATAACCCTCCTACGCTGCTCTAAAACACTCTCACAAACCTGGAGAACCTGCTCTCAAACACTCATCACTCACTCTTGAACACTCTCTCTATCTCTATTTCTCTCTCTCACACACACACACGCACATACACTTACACACACATGCACACACACACACGCGTGCGCACACACATCTCCGCATGAAAACTAGTCTGACCCACAGAAATCTCGTACAAACAGCACTTAATTACATAGCAACGGAGAGCACGGCAACGCTTGCCATGGACACAGATTATTTGGCCCTGATTGGCTGCTGGCAGGCTGCTGGCAGGCTGCTGTAGGCATGGTGGTGCAGTGTGTTTCTACTCCAACCCTGTAGGGGGCAGCAGTGGGGCCAGGCCTCCCTTGAGACTGCCTGGAAACCATGGTTCATCTGACTCAGCACTAGAGGAAGGTACACAAACAGTCAATAGTCACCCGCATAGGTCTTGGAAAGCATAGAGATCACTATACACCCATACAAACATACCACCTCTCCTGTCTCCTCTCCTTCTAGCCTCTCTCACTCTCACTCTCTCCCTTCCCCTCTCTTTCTACCTCCCTCCGCCCTCCCTCTCTCTCTCTCTCTCTCTCTCTCTCTCTCTCTCTCTCTCTCTCCTCTCTCTCTCTCTCTCTCTCTCTCTCTCTCTCTCTCTCTCTCCCTCTCCCTCTATGTAGTGACACAAGGAATAGTTGGCTTAGTAATGCAGCCATGCTGCCTGCAGGTGTGTTGCTCATGTGGACGTCCTTCTTTGCAGTCCTCCCAACTGTCCTCCTTCCCCTTTCCTGATTGCTTCATTGCTTCAGTGAGCCAGTACGCAGAGCCCAGTCCAATGCCTTGTGGCCAGTCAGTCTTTAAGAAGGATGGGCAGAATGAGGCCTGACGTGGCCACTGACCGTCACTGTCTAAGGCATGGGTCAGCTAGGGCAATGTCTGACTCAGACCAACACACACACATACACACACGCATGCTTTGTCCCTAGCACCCTGGCACAGCTCCGGCAGCAGAGAGAGATGGGGTGAGAGAGAGAGGGGAGGGAGTGAGTGAGTTTGTGTGGTGTACAGTGCAGATTCCCTCTGACACACAGTCACAATCATGCAGCCTTATCTCTGCTCACCTTCTGCTGACTCCCACAGGCCCACGGCCTCAGCTCACACACACACACGCGTGTGCGCGTACGTGCGTGTATGTTTGAAAGCTGTGTGGATGTTGAAGGGTGCGTGATGTGTATTTCGAGTAAATGTGTATTCCTGTGTGTTTTTGTGTGTGTGTTTGTTTGTGCGTGTGTGTGTGTGTGTGTCTCCCAACGAATCCTCTCCATGTCGGCTTGTGTTACCCTTCCTCTTTGCTTCACTGAACTGACAGAGGGTCCAGGCGTTTCTGCTCTCTCTCTATCTCGCTCTCTCTTTATCTCTCTCTCTCTATCTCTCTCTTTATCTCTCTCTCTCTTTATCTCTTCTTCTCTCTCTGTCTCTCTTGTCTCTCTCTCTCTCTCTCTCTCTCTCTCTCTCTCTCTCTCTCTCTCTCTCTCTCTCTCTCTCTCTCTCTCTCTCTCTCTCTCTCTCTCTCTCTCTCTCTCAAAACCCCAGCACAGGGTGATGGCAACAATAGTGAATCTAAAAAGGCTTTCATTTCAGCTTCAGCTGTATATGACGGTAAAACTTTACTTAAAGCATTCAGGTATAATGCATTGTTAGTTCTTATAAGCATGTATAAGCCCCTATTGTGTTTTATAAATCAACTGAAATATGTTATTTTTTTCTGTGGTATTTTGTTTTACATATTCTAAATGGCTACTATACTTTTTACATTTCGTGGTCATTTTGTGGTTATTTTCAAACCACTTCAAACTACTCCTATAACAAAATAAGAACTGAGAAACATATGATGCAAAAACAAGTATTATTTATTAGAAATATGATATTGTATTATTTGGAATGCAAATGAACAATGTCCTGTATGGGCATGTTATTCAGTGTTTCCCCTTGTTGGACTGACGGCGGCGGCGGCGGCGGCGGCGGCGGCGGGCTCTCTTCTTGGTTGAACCACGGGGGGTCACCAACACGGGAGCAGTTTGAGCATCTTTACAGCTGTCTGTCTCCCTCTCAGCTCCTCTCTCCTTGTGTTCATCTCCATGGAGCTCTAATGCAACCATTATCTATGGAAAGAAAATAAACTTAGTCTTATTAGGAAAACAAAACCATTATTTTAATTCATGCTCCAAGGTCAAATGAATTGATAACATTGTCGTGATTTCTTAAGTCTTTATAGTGACATGTAAGTAATACTGTATGTCAGCTTAGGCAATATATATATATATAACTACAATGGGTAAATGTCACTATTTAGACCTATTCTATTGTTGTTCTTAAAGCCTTTCTCAGACCCCCTCATACCCCTAATCTCTCTTTCACATCACATTACCTGCAGTAGTCCTCTCACACTGATGGTGAGCAGCAGGCCCATTCCATACAACCAGCAGCAGAGAGCCAGAAACATGCAGCGTGCAGCCTCTTTCCTCTCGTCTGCCCCATTAATCACTTCCACCATCTTCTTCCACACAAGCTCACTAGCTCCCGCTCTCTCCCAACTCCTGAGCTCAGCTACTCGGGTGCGAAACGTTCTGAGGCTGGCCGTAGAATCACCGGTTGTCTGGTGCAAAGCACTAACATCTCTGTATTTCTGGTCAATACTGTTTCTGGTCTGGGTGGTGGTGGCCTTGTCCAAGCCACAATGGCCCATAGGGCAGGAGCCTATCTCCTGTTTTTGTAGCATGAGGCAACTTGATGTACACCCCCTGGATAGGACACAAGTCTGTCGCTGGGCCTTACCCCCAATCCATCTCCTTAATGTGTGCCAAACTGAGAGGCACCGGGTCCCATTTTTAGAGTCTTTGGTATGATTGGACCGCGGATAAACCACCTGACCTTCCAATCTCAGGGCGGACACGTTAACGACAAGGCCACTGAGTTGGTAAGTGTTGTTTGTAGTTACCCGGGTAGCAGTGGGTTCCAAGCTGACCATAACACAAGCCTCTCCAGTGCCCTTGTGCAAACTGTGTCCATTGGTCTCGTTGGTGTTCTGTGTGGTCCAGGGTCGTTGATGGAAGTTGATGGTGTTGGTGTTCAGTTCAATGTGAGGCATGGTGGCCCACTGCCTAATGCCCATGGGGGGCATCAGGTTATCTCGAAAAACCTTGCCGTCCGGATGGTGTAATGCCAAGATTACATACACCAACAAATTAATACTGATAGAGTACAAAGCCATCTCTCAATCAGTAAAATTCAAAAAGCAACTACTCTCTACAGAGATAGGTGAGTTGTGGTGTTAAGAATGTTTGATAAGACTGTTGTGCCATATAGTGGTCTATGATGTCACAGAGGGCATCCAACATGTCACCTAGGTTGAAAATAACTAGCATGTCACCCCACCCTCCTTTATGACATCATTGCAATATAGATGCGGTAAAGAGGTCAATCGAACTCAACCAAAACAAAGGAATTGCCATGACTGTGAGGGAAAGGGCTGTGGGGGAAGATCCCAAGTCTCCACATTGCCATCCTCATTGATCCCATGTGGCTTAGTTGGTAGAGTGTGGCGCTTGCAATGCCAGGATTGTGGATTTGATTCCCATGGGGGACCAGAAAGAAAAAGTAGGAGGGCAAACCGTGCCCCTGACATAGAGCCTGCCGGGGCGGGACAGGTCCACTAGCATGTGGATGAGATGCATGGTGGGATAGATCATCCTCCTAATTTACAGGGAGGGAGGGGGGACAGTGGCTTGGTCTGATTTGACCTGATGTCACTAGAGGGGGTGGATGCTCAGACCACAGTAAAGGCTGTGTCTGTGTCTGAGTTACTATTGTTTATTTTCTGCTTGGCATCTCTTTTCATATCTTTGAGAATTGATAAAGCATGCTATTGTGGTGTGGGTGTCTCTCTGTGTGTGTGTGTGTGTGTGTGTGTGTGTATGTGTGTTTGTGTGAGACTGAGAGAGAAACTCTGACTCTACCTTTTTCTTGGTTCTGATCTTTCTCCTATCTCCACGGCCTATGATAAAGCTTGTTGTTGTGATGTGTGTGTCTGCGTGTGTCACGATCGTCCAAGGAAGCGGACCAATATGCAGCGTGTTGAGCGAACATGATGACTTTATTAAATTAAAGCAACCACGAAAACAACAAATGACGATAGTGAAGTCCACGATTACAATGACCGTAAAGGAACAAAAACCCACAACCCCAAGGTGAAAACACACAGTATAAATATGGCTCCCAATCAGAGATAACGAGCCGACAGCTGACACTCGTTACCTCCGATTGGGAGTCATTGACCAAACATAGAAAACAACAACCTAGACACCCAACATAGAACATAAACACATAGACTGCACACACCCTGGCTCAACATAATGAGTCCCAGAACCAGGGTGTGACAGCGTGTGTGAGTCCCTGTCTGCCTCTATCTCTCTCTCTCACTCTGTTTTAATAAAGCGTGAGGGATTGGATTAAAGGCTGGGATTTTCTGCATGAATGCATTTGCCCATCTGCGTTTAATTTTTGTGCCGCCTCGCCATTTTCCCATTTTATTTATTCCCTGTGGAGGGAAATGACTTTCCTCGCTCACAGTGCCTTTGGACATGTGTGTGTCATAGTGTGCGTATGCGTGTGTGTGTGTGGGTGTTTGTGCATGTGTCATGTTGTTTGCAGCAGCGTCGAGGCACGCCTTAAACCCTGGGTATCACCACATGTGGCTAGCCAGTCCCTGATTGGTCCATCGGATGTGTCTGTCAATCTGTCCGCTACATACATATCCCTATGCCGTCAATAGAATACTCCAGTGAAAGAATATCTCTAATATAAACTATAATCTCTAATACAGAAACCTTCCCTGTCTCCTCATAGCATATGCCAACACTTCTATTTCCATAAATGACGTTTGGCTGTGTAGCCATGTACTCTGTCTCTGCCCCCCTCGCCCTGGGGTTTGGTCCTTCGTGTCCCACCGGTTTAGACTGGGAAAAGGTTGTGTTCCGGATCGGCACGCTGAGCCCAGTGGAGCGGGAAAAGTCTGGAGCAGGGAGACCGTAGGGAGAGGAGAAGGAATAGACCACCACACGTCTGTCTAGGTTTACTGTTTACCCATGTCTGTATGTCTGTCTGACTGTCTGTATGTCTGTCTGTGTGTCTGTCTTTATTGTTTAACAATGTCTGTCTGTCTGTCTGCCTGTCTGTCGGTCTGTCCTGTGGAGACTAGGCCATACTCACTATCTGTTATTATCTAGTATAAATATCCAAAGCTTTTGTTGTCACACAGCGCTCTGTCAAATTAATAGAACGGTTTGCCACTTTCTTAAATGTCACAGAATATCAATCCCTACTTTTCCTCAGTTCCCTTTTTAAGGCATTTTCTCTCTTATCAAACCGACCTCATGCAGTGTTCAACCATATAATTAAATATGTTTGTGTTCAACATCCTGTTCCATTCTCTGTTTGTAATGGATGTCTAGTCATCATAACAGCCTTGTCTGTTTGGTTGCCCCCGCTACTGGAGATGTCCAGCACTCCACCTCCTCCACCCCAGGCCCTTGGTGAGGAAGCCCAAAGAAAGGCTGTGTTTCTGGGCAGTGCAAGGCCTCACTTCCCCCTCTCTTCCTGCACCATATTATCCATCCTCCAGGCCCCATAATTTTCTTTCTCACGTTTATTTAACCAGATAAGTCAATTGAGAACCAATTCTCATTTACAATAACGACCTGGCCAATAGCCATAACATTGCAACAGTGAACAGGACAACACGCAATACCACAAAAATAGAAAAATACACACTACACAGAGGAAATGTACAAATTCATCAAATATACAACAATAAGAAATTCACAGTGGGTTCGAGCAGAAAAGTCCAAGGCAACACAGCAGACTTAATGATCAGCAGGTACATTGATCAGACAGCAGCTCAGTTAATATGTTTTTGAAGGAGTGTGGTGGGATGAATGTGTCAAGTTTGAGGGTGTTATGGCCCCTAAGAAGACCCAGATTACCCCAGAGTGGCTTATTACCCCTGATAGAGGTATAAAGGGATAGTGGAGGAGAGAGGTGCTGGGCGGTGGGAGATAGAGGCTGATAAAGGGGGGAACGGAGTAAAGGAAAGAGAGGGAGGCAAATGGATGAGGAAGGGTGAACACAAAAGCCAAATTGAGAGGTGGTGAGAGAGAGAGAGAGAGGTTGAGATCTGGAGACTGGCTAGACCACTCCAGGACCTTGAAATGCTTCTTACGAAGCCACTCCTTCGTTGCCCGGGCGGTGTGTTTGGGATCATTGTCATGCTGAAAGACCCAGCCACGTTTCATCTTTAATGCCCTTGCTGGTGGAAGGAGGTTTACACTCAAAATCTCACGATACATGGCCCCATTCATTCTTTCCTTTACACGGATCAGTCGTCCTGGTCCCTTTGCAGAAAAACAGCCCCAAAGCATGATGTTTCCACCCCCATGCTTCACAGTAGGTATAGTGTTCTTTGGATGCAACTCAGCATTCTTTGTCCTCCAAACACGACGAGTTGAGTTTTTACCAAAAGGTTCTATTTTGGTTTCATCTGACCATATGACATTCTCCCAATCCTCTTCTGGATCATCCAAATGCACTCTAGCAAACTTCAGACGGACCTGGACATGTACTGGCTTAAGCAGGGGGACACGTCTGGCACTGCAGGATTTGAGTCCCTGGCAGCGTAGTGTGTTACTGATGGTAGGCTTTGTTACTTTGGTCCCAGCTCTCTGCAGGTCATTCACTAGGTCCCCCCCGTGTGGTTCTGGGATTTTTTGCTCACCTTTCTTGTGATCATTTTGACCCCACGGGGTGAGATCTTGCGTGGAGCCCCAGATCGAGGGAGATTATCAGTGGTCTTGTATGTCTTCCATTTCCTAATAATTGCTCCCACAGTTGATTTCTTCAAACCAAGCTGCTTACCTATTGGAGATTCAGTCTTCCCAGCCTGGTGCAGGTGTACAATTTTGTTTCTGGTGTCCTTTGACAGCTCTTTGGTCTTGGCCATAGTGGAATTTGGAGTGTGATTGTTTGAGGTTGTGGACAGGTGTCTTTTATACTGATAACAAGTTCAAACAGGTGCCATTAATACAGGTAACGAGTGGAGGACAGAGGAGCCTCTTAAAGAAGAAGTTACAGGTCTGTGAGAGCCAGAAATCTTGCTTGTTTGTAGGTGACCAAATACTTATTTTCCACCATAATTTGCAAATAAATTCATTACAAATCCTACAATGTGATTTTCTGGATTTTTTATTTCTCAATTTGTCTGTCATAGTTGACGTGTACCTATGATGAAAATTACAGGCCTCTCTCATGTTTTTAAGTGGGAAAACTTGCACAATTGGTGGCTGACTAAATACTTTTTTCCCCCACTGCATATGCCATCAAAAGGAACATAAAATTCGACATACCAATTACGATCTGGCAAAAAATGCTTGAATCAGTTATAGAACCCATTGCCCTTTATGGTTGTGAGGTCTGGGGTCCGCTCACCAACCAAGAATTCACAAAATGGGACAAACACCAAATTGAGAGCCGTTAAAAAAAAGAGCCGTTAAATTCTATAACCACTTAAAAGGAAGCGATTCCCAAACCTTCCATAACAAAGCCATCACCTACAGAGATATGAACATGGAGAAGAGTCCCCTAAGTAAGCTGGTCCTGGGGCTCTGTTCACAAACACAAACAGACCCCACAGAGCTCCAGGACAACAACAACAGCACAATTAGACCCAACCAAATCATGAGAAAACAAAAAGATAATTACTTGACACATTGGAAAGAATTAACAAAAAAACTGAGCAAACTAGAATGCTATTTGGCCCTAAACATAGAGTACACAGTGGCAGAATACCTGACCACTGTGACTGACCCAAATTTAAGGAAAGCTTTGACTATGTACAGACTCAGTGAGCATAGCCTTGCTATTGAGAAAGGCCGCCGTAGGCAGACCTGGCTCTCAAGAGAAGACCGGCTATGTGCACACTGCCCACAAAATGAGGTGGAAACTGAGCTGCACTTCCTAACCTCCTGCCAAATGTATGACCATATTAGAGACACATATTGCCCTCAGATTACAGAGATCCACAAAGAATTTGAAAACAAACCCAATTTTGATAAACTCCCTTATGTACTGGGTGAAAAACCATAGTGTGCCATCACAGCAGCAAGATTTGTGACCTGTTGCTACAAGAAATGAGCAACCAGTGAAGAACTAACACCATTG